CTCATATAATGCATACTAGCAAGACACATTTGATCTTCAATCACATCTTGTAGTTGTCGGTGTAAATTCATGAGTTTTTCTTCATTATTTTGTTTATGTGCAACATGAAATAAAACTCGCGTTTGTAATGGAGATTTTGGACCTTTTAGTGCTGTATGTTCAGCATCATCGTATTTACCTAACATGAAATAAGCGCAAGCGAGATAAATGCAGACTTCACCATTTCGTGGATCTTTTTTGAGAATATTTTCATATTCCTAAAAAGTAATAACAACATTTAATTAGACATATAAAATTAATTTGAATATTCAAGACTTATATCAAAATCAAATTAAGCAGATTTACAGCATCTAATTGTCACATACGATTCGATCTTTCTGTGATTTTGCTTAGGAATACAGAGAAAAATCGTTATGGTTTTAGCTACAACGAAAGTTTATTTCTTGACATAAGATTTTTTTTTATTGTGCTCATTAATGTGACACTCGAAGGTGCTTACAACATATATAAAAAAGAGGTGGTCCGGGTGTTTAAGAGTTAAGCTGAAGCATTCACGTCAAGGAAGAAACAGCTGATTATATGATTAGCAATTCGTGGTAATAATAGGTAGGTGTAAATGTGATTATTCTTTTTATTCACACACACACCAACACGTATCCCGTCTCTTAATAGTGATTAGATGTGATTAGCGGCCTTCTAATCCGCTGTTTCTCGCTTGGAGTTTACGATCTCTACCAGTTTGTATAGTTGTCTTGTGTGATTCTGTATCCAATGCCGCTTGATTCACCTTGTTCTCGATTCGTTCCAATTTCTCTTCTACTCCAGTACTACTTTCGCGCATAGCAGCTAGAGTTTCATTTATGACAATGAGTATTTTATATTGCTTCATATTCATCTTCGCGACGTGGTTCTGTTGGTATCCGATTCTAAGCATTTTGTTGTTGGTGATAAAGCTTATCCTGTTCATTGAGCGAAGGAACTTCTTGATTTTTACGATTGAAGTCTTGTTTTTTCGCATAGCCGTTTCTTTGTAGTTTACTAGATTCTACCGCTTTATTGATGGCATCCTCTAGATCAACACGATATTGTCGAATAACGAGATATTGATAGTCACCATCACATTGTGCAAATTTTGGTATATTCATGCATGTGTGCTCTTCTCTTCTTGTTATTTCTTTTAAGTAAATTCGAGATCGTTGAATATTTGTTTCTCATTGATCGCGAGTATGACCTAATTTCCAACAACGAGTTCAATAGGTCATTCGATATGCAGATAAGAAGGATGTAATAGATAACCAATGATTATAAATTGTTGATACGCATAATGAATTTGTTTAATATTATCCGCTGATATAATCGTACGATTAATTTCATCTTTAACAGTTTCAATTTTTAATTTAATTGGAATACATTTTGGCTTAATAGCTGCAATCAGTATATTTTTAATTAACGTTGCCCAGCTTTCAGTTGTCACTAAAGTCATATAGTCATATTTGTTGTTTACTTCCAATTTCAAAGGTTTACCGGACCAGTCGATTAATGAGAATTGCTGAATTATAGCATTATGTTTCTTAAAATATTTTTCGATTGTATTTATAGCTTCGAAAGTCGATGGAAGTTTATATGAACTTGTTGCTAGTTCGAACTAACTCGTCTTAATTAATCAAATGAAAGTGATATTCGTTGCTATCATTGAGAAATCTACTATGTTTCGGAGGCGATGATTGATAATGAATACCTATTTTAACATTCATAATCGAGGGAATTTACTGTTGGTTTTGATTCATTAAATCATTAAGATCTGTTGGAAGAGATTGTTGTATAGTTTTCACCCGTGTGAATTGCAAAAATTGATAAAAGTCATTTAACATCTGTAGATTTTTTGCAAACAAATGAAGTAGATCATTTTGTTGTTGTTGTACATTATAGTGATTATGATTTAAAATCGACTGCGGGTTTTGAAGTTGAAATTGTGGAGGTCCGCACTGTGTGTAATGCCTGTTCGTACCCCTTCATTTGAACCTCGGATCAATTCCATTAGTATAATAGATATTCATTACATTCTTTTCAACGAATTGAGAGTAAATTAAGAACATATACTTGCTTCTCCGTTAACACAGGAGAGCACAAGATAAGAAAGAAAAAAGAAAGTATGTTGTAAAACGAACAAAAATGCGTCTGTTCGCTGTTCTTGACGTAAGATATTATAGTTAGCTATTAGAAGTATTTTTCAGGAAAAGTTAAGTTCGTAACCCTAAACTAAAATGATTACTATTGTTAACTAATACGCCATGTGCTTAAATCCTGTTTAAGTTTACTTTGTTTCAGTAAGCTCTATTCATAATTGAAATATGAGATACATACATCACTTGCTCGTTGATAATCACCAGCATGAAATGCTGCAAATGCTAGCCAAAGATCAAGATCTTTTACTTCTTTTTCACTTTGACGACAAAACTATTTCAAATAATAAATACATAATTAAATATTTCTTTTTTAATAATCGAAATCAAAATAAATACTTCAAGATAAGCAATTGCACCTGTATAATCA